AGGATATATTTTCTGGGAGGGGCTAAGGTGTCCAACAGGGGACTTGAGCTCGTAGGCCCAAGCTGGGGGAAAGGGTCAAGAGGGAGTTCCCCCACCCAAATGAGATTTTTTTAAGAATAGCAACCTCTGGATGTCTGGAAATGGCACTCTCAGACTGTGACAGACGTATTGGCTCGGTGCGGGCCTATTTTTATGTTTTATGGTCTTACTGCCCGACAAGCTGTGTCCGACGGGGTGGGGGGGCCTTAAGCCCCATCCCCGCTGGCACCACCATTCTCTAGAACCTGCAAAAATTCATGTATGCTTAAAACCCTGACCATTTACAGTGACACCTGCTGTTTAATATTAATAAGAAACAGAAATTGTATATAAAAAAGACAGCTTTGAAAAAAAAAGATTTGTCTAGGTTCATTTAAAAATAAATACACTTTCAGAATCAGCAGGTGAGACCACCAAATATGCCACCAATGACTCTGATAGAATTTGACAGGAGATGCTGTCAATATCTCCTGACCCTGGGAATTGGTTAAATTGGGGGCCCAGGATGATGCAAGAATGTTCTAAATCTGGTTGAGTATTTAATGTGATAAATCAGTTGTACTGTATCTCACAGGGCCATTCATGGTTCAGTAGCTAAGTTATCACAAGTCTATAGCCTGGGTACAATGTACTGTGTAAGTCAATGGTGACGTCATCACTTTAATTTGCACTGAATTTTCTTATCTCCAACTGATCACTATTGTATTTCGATATAGTGCTTCCGATTTTTTGCGTTTTGTGTGCAAAAAGATATGAACGCACACAGCGGACTAAACAAATCTAGGTCTACGGCACTGGTTAACGCAAATGAAACCAAAACTATCCTAGACTAGGCCTAGAAAGTCATAATGCTTATGAGATAAGGTTAACTGACTTATAAAAGATTCGAATGAAAAAATAGGCAATGCTGAAATAATTCATAATAATAAGGTTTACAATATATTTCAATCTATTAAACAAATGTTTACCAGGAGGTTAGACCTACTTATAACCCCTAATGTAGTTACATTGACCACAATCAATTTATTCATCTTCTTCGTAGTATCGCGACGAGCTGTGCGAAGAGTGTCAGTGCGCGATTTATTAACTTTGGTACTACTAACAAATCATTCTAATATGTGCATCTAATGCACACGCACAGTGATCCCTGAAAAGGTGGTGGGCGTCACAACGGACTTATAATGCAATTATAGTAAAGTAATTTCATACATTATAGGAAATAGAAGCCTTAGGAGCCATTATTTCCTTCAAATACTGTCTTCAGCCTGACAGGCTTCAGGCAATTTTTTCAGGAAATAATGGCTCCTTCGGCTTCTATCTCCTATAGTGTAAACTCAAAACATGACTGTAATTGTGGCAAAGACAAAGCCAAACCAGTCACTCGTCACAAATCCTGTTTCAGAGATATTGGCCAAAACATGCTGAAATGTCAATATTTTGGAAATCTCTTTTATTGCGCTAAACTAACCTTTAAAATATCTATAAAGTACATCATTTAATTTTCTACATTCTACATACATCCTTCGGGGGAACACTGTCAAGTTACTGCATGACTGTTTTTATATTTTCAATAAAACCAATCTCTTCTAATTTAAAGTACATTTCCCCTGAATATGTGATAATTCGTTATCATGCATACACCTGTGCTAAATGCATTACAAATTTATGAACATGCATGTGATTCTGCAAAATGCATAGTTTCAATTGAAATCACTTTGAAATCGTGACCGTCCCGCACGATGCAAGACGGTTGGTAAATATGGCTTAACAGCATTTAGATTAATAATACTGTACTTTCATGTAGCAGACACAAAAATGATCAACCAGAGTATCTTTCGTTGGTACAACATTATAAACAAACACAGTGCAAGAAACAAGAATCTGTATGGCTTCCTTGTATTTCTATGATAAAAACACATTGTACTATTTTCAATAGGCTACAGTAAGTATGGCTGTTCTACATAGTATGCCCCTTGATATCAAGGGGTATTCATAAATTTAAAAAAAAAATGATATGCTCGATCAGGAATCAATTTATACAAACTAGTTTCTCCTTTGTCATTTGTTAGCCGATAGGCCCACAGCGATAAGGCCTAGAAAACATGAAACTTGCCTAATATAAAATGTGTCTACAAAAAGCGCACTGTAATTTGTAAACAATTTTTTTCTGAATTTGTTCAATCCTTTTATTTATTCTCTTCATTTTTAAGAGAGCATAAACACTCTATATTTAAAAGAGAATAAATTAATAATTGTAATTTCTAGATAATTTTTAAAAATTTTTCATAAAAATATACAATATTGAAATCACTCCCCTAGCATAATTTTTTTTTTTATGAAAACAATGGAAAAATGGATGACTCAAATATAAAACCAATGACTAGCATACAGTTTATAAAATGACCTCTGCTGACCAGAACAAATGGCAATTCAAAACCATCACACAAAAAGGCAATGACCAGGTGAAAACCCATAAAAAGTAACCCCAGAAAAAAAAAAAAAAATTGGCAGGTATTTTGTGTAAAAATGATTTAACACACACACCTGATCTCATAAAACAAGCAACAACAGGTAAACTAAAAAAAAATGATTTAACCCAAACACCTGATCTCATAAAACAGAGCAAGGAAAGTGTATTCATCATTGATTCCATGAGGAACAGTGACGGGATCAGGACAAACTAAACACAAGGGTGTCATGATTTCTCACAATGGCTTTACACTTCTCACCCAAAACAAAATTAAAACAATAACCAAAACATATGGGATATTAGTTTGTTATCAAATCCAGTCACAGCATCATTGCAAAGTGTTAAAGGTCTCAAGAAAATCTTTGTTTATAATTTTTACCCAAACTTGGCAAGTCTACACAATTCATAGTACAGATTTTTTTTGTGTGATTGTATTTAAAGTCATTGAACTAGTTGGGTGAAAAACACCTATGCAGAAACTGTATTTCTCAAGGTCACTTAATAAAACATGAAGAAAATAATTATACTTTACTTTTTAATAACAAACATGAAATATAGAGGGCGTGCTAACCTCAAAACTGGTCTTATGCTATAATGTAGCTATGCTCTTTATATGAATACACAAGTAATTTCAGTAAGGGCTGCTAGGCTACAGGGCAGTAGCCATCTGGCTACCAGTCCTGGAACATAGTTAGCCCTTTGAAGAGTCAACTGCCCACACAAAATTACTACCAAATGACTGCCAAGTTGATTACCTTCCTACCCACCAATAGTGTATGTATAGGTAAAGCATACAAACAAGTTTGCAGCTCTTCCTTGCTGAATAAAATCAGTGTTTACTAGATTTATTTAATAAATAGCCAAGTGGAGTACACTTGAATAACAGGCACTATTGACTCACAAACCATATGGCAAGGCAATTGACTGAGCCAAAGTACCTACTCCCAAACTGGGTAATAAAAAATTGAAGACTTTTTTAACTTTTTAGTGTGTTGATCCCAAAACATAAATTACCTCTTTGGCAAGGGTTTTCATTTTACAATAGATTACAAATCTTTCTTTATTCTGGAATGCTCATTTCAATACAATTGCTAGTCTCCCAGATTTAGTAAAAATATAATTAATAAATTTACAAAAGAATGAGAAAATGAAAGAAATGATAAAAGAGGTTAAAAAAAAAATTGAAATACAATGCACAAATAAAATTAAAAGGTTTAAAAAATCAACTTAATTAAATAGTTTGGAAATGTTTACAAACATCAACTGGAAGGTCATTCCAGAGTAATGATGTTTGGTATCGCATGAATATTTTTATACGTTGGAATTATTAATGTATTTGTGGATTGACTTAAGTATTTCATTATTTTGGGGGGGGGGGTGAGTCCATATTGACTCCAACAAGGGGTCTTATCCTTGGATCCTCATCGAACACCGTAAGCGCCACCTTGGTTCGGACTACAGTATGTAAGGCTTCTTGGACCCCTTGTTTACATATTTCTGATTTTTTTTATTATACTGGGGATTTGGTTGGCAATATCAGAGATTTCTTTTCAGCATAACAGAAAGTCAGGAGTATGAAGTTTACACAAAATCTGGAGAACAGAGCCAGTGTGATAAATGTGATTATTGATAACTTATATGCTGAGAAAGTTCACTATGAAATGAACATGCATTTTGAAAAAAAAAAAAAAAAAAGGAACCACAAACCATCTTTTATTTGAGGCCTAACATTATGTAAATTATAGGGCCTAAAAAGGGCTTAAAAGAAGTGAGGACTATAATTTTTTTTTTTTCGGTACTAATTTGTACCAAAAACAGTAGTTTCTTTTCACTTTACATCCAGATATGTTATCATGAAACCAAATATAATTACTGTGAAGTGAGGAAGATTGATAACTATTTTTCCTGAATGTAACAAACAAAATATGCCTAGAATTTCACAGAACAATGGCAGCAAAGTTCTCAACAACAGATTTGATGGATGTAGAGGGACTCCAGAATGCCGACCATCATCCCCAGAGAGTGATAAAGACTAAAAACTCATAATTACACAGAGGGAAATTTATGGGTTTCTGCCCCAACACCTCTCACTGTGAATTAATTGGTGAATTAGAAATTAGACTCCAAGACTGACAGACAGTCTAGACATCTGGATTTGAGACTATAAATCCAATAATAACCCTTGAACTTTGGATCATTTATTTAATTACATTAAAAGGAAGTACAATAGAGAGGGTTCAAAGGTTATGTGTATCTGAATGTAAGATTTGTTGAAATCTATCCACCATCAAAATATTGCTGTTGTAAAAAAAATATCCTATATTGCAAAGAGTTTAATAAAAATAGCCAATCATTTATTAATACAAATATTTAATTTCAATTATGAATATACTTAATTTACATATTTATAAATATTTAAATTTTGATAATAAAAAAAATAAGGACTAAACATTTTTAATGTTTTTACACTTTGGAATCATATAAATCATACCTGCTGAATACCTTTGTACTGTTGTTTCATCCCAGAATTCCTTGCAATAATCACAAACAGGCTGTTGATTCAATAAATATTTAAGCTTAGGCCTTGACTGCAAATTTTGACCTGAAAATATACAAAAATAAAATTGTATTATCTTCAAGAAATACTGTAAAAAAAATTAAAGTACAGTAGAACCTCGTTTTTACGTACCCCAGTTATACGAACCCTCTGTTTTACGTACGCCTCGTATGGACGATGATGTCATCAAAAACCCCGAAAATATTAAAAACAAACGGCCCTTTTGAGAGCAACCATAAGTAAAAAAATATAACAATAAACTATAACAATAAACAAACCATAATGCAACGTATTTTCATTAAACAGCAACGTTGATTGAGTCTAATACCGGGTTNNNACTATAACAAATAATATGAGACACGACCCATTGTCTATATTAGAACACTTCTCATTGAGTAACAAAGTCGTAATTTTTCATTTTTGTCGTGTCTATAGTGTGGTGAATTATGGTTTAGGTTTTTTTTAATAAAGTTTCAAAAATTTCTATTTATGTGGAAAATGTAGTTGATTACCAAAGGTTACAATTTTTATTTTGAAGACTGCATGGTCTAGGATGTGTACATTTTTTTATGGGGAAAGTTTCCAAGGGCGGGTTTTCTAGGGGCGAGTTGACTGCCAAAGAGTGTTGCCAAAGTGCGAGCCAGCGTGTTATTTGATCACAAGTGCGAGACATATCACAAGTGTTAGCCATGACGTCACGACAATAGATAGAGATGTTAACCAGTTGTTCGAGGTATCGGCTGAGATTTGTGGAGTACAATTCAAAAAACAACTATAGGTCTAATAATGACTTATTGTGATGTTAAATAGACAATGTTAGCTATCAAAGAGCGACGTTGTTTTTCATTGCGACCTTCGTCCCTTCAAGGCTAGGCCTAGGCCTGTACCAATACCATCCTAGCTAGTCTAGGCCTAGAGTAGGATAAGGCTAGCGCGACATGCGGACGTTGGTACGAGTAGGTTAGTCTACAAACGTCGCCTAAAGTAATTGATTTTACCCGGCAGAACGAAAGAAGGAAACTCCGCTTTTCAGTCGTCTTAGCCACTCGTTTTTTGACAAACAATGACCTTTCAGAGGTCAAATTGCTGTCAAGAATATGAATTGGCTACTTCGCAGCAAAAAGCGTGACCGATACAGCTGAAATAGGTAGTTAATATTAGTAGCAGGCATAAAATTGTCTCTTTACAAGCCCACTATACAACCTGGTCAAAGATCTTACAATATTGTAACAAGCTCTGCGATTCTATGAGTAACAAGTAGAAGAGTCAATGTTCAGTAAAAAGCAATAGAAAGTAATTGTAATTGAGAGAGGGGTCCTAGTAGTTACTATGGTTGTTGTTCCAGAATTTGCATGCAGAAATCGCGGAGAATGCTATCTTGTAATGTTAAGATATTTGAACCTTGTTAATTATTATAGAGAACAGGCTTAAAACCATTCACCCGCAAAGTTGTACAGTATAACAAAAAGTGAATTTTTTGTAATATTTTTAAATATGCTTAGATAGTACTATTTATTTGTTAAATTATTATTTTAAAGTTATTAAATTAATTTCCTTTTTTTTTGTTGTCATATTTTGACTTCCTATGGAGGTGGAGGTGCATGGTTTTCCCTTAAACGGATACTGGTGCTTTATAAATTTTCATTATTATTTTATATTAAAAAACCCAGAAACAGGTATACATGCAGGCCCAGAAATACTCAAACGGCAAATCTGACAGAATAACTTAACAATAAAGAAAAAATCAATACCAAAACTGCTTTTAAAATCAACTAAATTTAAACACACTGAAGAACAAATTTTAGACATAGATGTTTATTCTTATCATCCTTTATTTTGATGGAATTCATTATTTCATCCCAGTAAATATTCAAATTTTTCGAGTTAGTAGTTTATTCTTAGAAACATAAGATTGGACCCCATGTGGATAATTGAACATTCCTCTTCCACTTCATCTTCCCAGCATGCCTTTCTAAATTCACTTGCTGCACCAGAGGGTCCAAGGCCTTTGGCCAATGCAATTAAAATCTGTGTTTCTAATACAAGTAGTGCCACAACTCATGATTTCTGTTACTTCACCAACAGTTCTTCAGATTTGATTTAACTATAATCTAATACCAAAGAAAATTAATACAATATTAAATAAATCTAATTTTTATATTACTCAAGTCAAATTTATTTTTTATTTATTTATTTTTTATTTTTTACACAATTGACGAGAAAGTGGTTTGAATGGGTATAATGTGTATGCTGTGTAAGATTAGCATGCGTCTCATGTAATATTCATGTAAGAAAAGAGACACCTCAAAGACCTACTCCTCAGATATCTAACAAAGATCTATGTAAATGCTTACAACATGCAGCTTACAGTAAAACCACTCTGTTACATTGCACATATCTTCACTGCCTATGTACAAAATGTACCAACTTTTAGCAATGTTTGTATCATATCACCATTTATTCACCAGTACAATAAAACAATAATAAATGTATGGCTGACTGGCCTAAAAGCAACGCAAAGTTACTGTATTCGCATGTAATACAAAGGTATCTCAATAGGCATACTGTATAGTGGGAAGCCTGTATAGCACTTAACATGCTTTCTATAATTAATATTTTATATTGTGTGGATTGGGTATTGCATGGAGGTCATTTGTATCATAAAAACTTTCATAAAACATAAATTTCAGTAATAAATTAATCTAATATGCAACCAATGATTACCGATGTGAAACCTGGGGATTAATAACAGCCAACCATACACAGAGCCAGTGTGGAGACATTACAATTACGTGTGAATTTCGATAAAAAGTTGAACGATTACATATTAGCACTAGTGGTCACATCACAAAACAAAGTGTTCATTGTGTGTCCCCTCTCAGCAATTAACTTCTTTGCAAAATACACATAATGCCCCCAGTATTCCCAAACTCTGTAAGGTGCGTCACTCATGGTGGAAAAAGCTTCCGGGCAGACACAATACGCAATGTTTGACGTCAACTGCAGGCCTGAGAAACGTAATATTTGTTTACAAAAACATTAAGGAACAATGCCATATTGAGCTCTTTAACTACACTACAGGCTTAGATAAGTGAACGATTTTTTAAAATAAATTTTATGTTCATAAACTTGCCAACAGCACATACACACACCCACGTAACTAAAGAAGGGGCCCAGGGGTGACCAATCTACTGATAGATCATTAAAATATTGTGAATAAAGAAGAATAAAGAAGAGGTAGAAACATAAATGGCAGAATGCACTATAAAGATTTATTTCTTTTATTTTAAAAATAATTTCAAATCACCAGCATGAACCTCAAAATTAATTTTAATGGGCCTAATGAAAATATTGAATCTTGTGTATACAATGTTAACAAAATACTTTTTACCCATTCATAATTTTCCTGAACTTATTTTCCTATTTGCATTTTTGTAATTTAAATTTGATTAGTTTACTTTGTTTGTTATTTATTATACTCATAATCTTCGTCCTCATTCTATCATATCAGTCACTCAAAGCTACATGGACGATATATTTATTGTAAAACTCAAACTTACACCATTGTTATATTTCATGTGGCCACTTATTTTTAGGAGGTGGAACATAATCTGGTTTTCATTTGGCCATATCCTAGCCACTCATTTACTGGTAGGAATGTATCCAGCACAACAACTGTTACTAATGACAAGGAACAAACCACTCAAAACAAGGGATGTTCATCATTAAAATTGATTCTGTTTTCACCAAAACATGTGTTAAATGCAGCTAGGGAAACGTTGATAGAAGTGGTGCTACAGTCCGAAGCAAAATCTTGGTCATAATCCTTTAGCAAAGGACTTGAAAACAATTCATATTATTAGAATATAAGACAGATTGGTTATAATATAAATTTAATTTTCTTTGATCTGACCCATATCTATAGACCTTAAAAGATGTTCACAGGGGGTTATTGGATATTCTGCCTATCCTGGCACTAACAATAACCTGACTAAGCTTAATATTTCTCAGGTTGAGATTTCAATATCATTTATTGTTACATTAATATTTAATAAGTCATCCAAGTATATTACTATAACTCCTTTCCTAATCTCACAAACAGTAGAACTCTGTAGTAACTTTCTCACCAGAGGATTATTTTACTTAATTGTCAAATTTGTTTGAGTCATTCAGCAAGTGATTGAATGTACTTATCAAAATTCTGTCAAAAAGCATATTTAAGTTACAAATGTGGCAAAGCCAAACCAGTCACTCGTCGCAAATCGTGTTTCAGAGATAATGGCCAAAACATGCTTGAATGTCAAAATTGTTGAAATCTATTTTATTGCACTAAACCAACCTTTATATCTATACATCATTCTATGCTGTTATTTTCCCCATTTTCAATGTTAAAACAACAATTTTTAACGATTTGGTGATGGTCTCTGCCTGAAATCATAAACTTTGAAGGCTGATTTCTCAAATATTGTTCTTTAAACAGCTCTATTACTAATGCTTGTAACTTCATAAGGAAACGTCGGATTTAAATGATTCTTTAACCATTTTATAGCTCTCATTTTACTGTTTAACCCTGTAGCAATAACTAAAAAATCAATTTTTGTGACCAGTGACTGGTTTGGCTTGTCTTTGCCACAAATGCTAAACCCATTTGAATACTGGTCATCACTCCACACATTATTACCACTCCATTCCTCATCTCATACAGCAGAATTCTGTAGTACATTCAACTGAAGATTGTTTTACTGAATTGTTAAATTTCATTCAGAAAATGATTGAATATGCTTGACGACTATTGAAATTCTGCCAAAAAGACATTTAAGTTGTTGCCAATGCTAAAACCATTCCAACACTGGCCATCACTCCGCAGGTGTGCAGGCAATCATTAAGCCAATAAAATGAGTAGTGTACAGTACCTCTTTCATCTTGTTCACACTAATTAGTAAGTCAGATTTCGGAACAAACATGTTTTTAAGTTTTCTCAACAGAGCCAACCTAAACATTTTTAAACTAGAGGTTTTTTCTTTATGGACAAAAGTTCAAAATATGTGCAAGGGAAAATGGGGTTAAAGGTATATACAGTAGACTGAAAATAGCCAAAATGAAGATATCAAACTGATATCAATCATCAATTTATTGTGTAATGTTTCTGGAGTAGAAGGCCTGGTACTGGTACTTGTAGCCGTCTGATTTCAGACATTCAGCGTATTGTTCCAAAATTGGAATAACAATCAAATCAAAAACATAAATAAGCTTTAACTACAAAATACCATACTGTAAAAAAACAATATTATATTAAAAATAATGATGAATCAGGGTACTGTATGTAATAATGCATTGTGCCTGTAATACTATGTAGACACTCAACATTTATAAATCAAGTTGTTTACCAGAAATCAATTCAATAATTTTAATAATAACCAGTAAGATATCAAACACTATAACAACACTCCAACAGTAACTTTGGTTTCACTCAATGCGTATTCAAACACCATGTTATAATCCACCCCTTTGCCTGCATTTTCCAGGTTCATCTTGCGTGAAATTTACATGTTTTTCAACAAAGACTTACGAGGCAATCTTCTGTACAAACAATTCCGAATAATGGGCTGGTAAAAAGCGTACAAATGTGATTATGGATGCAGTATAAAAACTTTACAGGAGGGAAAGAAACGAGTGGGATTAAAATTTAGGAAAGTGTTTTATGCTGCATTCAATGGTTAAACTAGAAAGATGAACTAAGAAAAAACTATAAATTTGGGAGTGCTAAGAATGATGTACTGTTTACTGCAGCAACACTTAGCATGGGGACCCAGTGACCAGGAAAAAAGAACTTCAGCGCTTCGTAACTGAAAAGGAAGGCGCTATACAAATAACAAGTAACGAGTAACAAGTACTATAAATTAGCACACTAGTGTATGTCTTAAAGAATTATGATTATATAAATAAGTACGGTACATTAGATTGAGACGTGTTTTTCTTACATAATTTTGTATATTTTTTTTAATCAATTGAACCCTTATTTGCATATTTCTTTTATGTTTAACCCCTTTATTTTAAGCCTAACATTCACTATAAAAAAAATCAATCACATTAATATTGAACTATTTATTGCAATATGACTTTCTTTATATGACCATCATGCGATCCGATCTCAAGTAGGGGGCCTAAGGCCGCACCCTATTACTTGTTTTTCTCACACTTTTTCTTCGTCACTAAAAATTTATATTTAACTTTTTCGCCTACAGTAGAGTATGCTTTTAGCTGAACTATTTAGCTAAGTATGGAAAAACAATTTTCCATATTTTTTCCACACACCTCTATAGATCATTCAAGAAAATATTGCTAAGGAGGAAAAAATCTTTTCTATCACAATCAATAAAAGAGTCAGTCATTTATTAATATTTTAATAACTGGCACAGTGATTTTCATTATTTATTGAAACCCAAATCCCGAGAAAAAAATTAAAATTAATTCACAATCAGGGAATTTTGATATGAAAAAAGCATGAACTCATCATCTTTATATACTTGATATAAATTTGATTAATAACATAAACAGTGCTCTAGTCAGTAACTAATAACATCCTACAAATTAAGGAAGTCCTCAGCAATTACCTAACAGTAGTTGGCTTCTGATTACCCAAGAATCTGATTTACAAGTGACCAATCGGAAACAATTGACGTTTCTGACATATGGTATTATCATTACGGTTTAAGCAATGGAAATGGAAAACTAGGTATGGATGGCGTCAACTTTCGACCCAACACATATCAATCTGATAAACATAAACTGGTACACATAAACGTGTTCGAACGCATGTAGGCCAAATCCACAATATATCAGTGATCATATAGGAAATGGGATACCTTTCACTGGTATAATCTTAAAAGAAACTAAAGGGTATGTATATACTGTACTGAACTTTTGATCATTATAAATGGATCTGATATTGATTATAATTAGGCCCTAATACTAAATTTATTTTAATTATGTCTGAGAGTATAAGCAATCAAAAAGAAAAGAGTTATACATTTTCATTAGTATTTAATACAATATTTACTACTCGTATTTTATTATAAATCCACGTTACTGGAAAGAACCTAATGCATGGTGTATTTATCATCCATGCATACTTGGTGATACAAATAAGTACTATGGTATGTCTTCACTGATGTTTTGAATACTTATTTGTGACATTTAATGAATAAATCAGGGGGGTAGGCTGGTTTCAGCCTGAGGTGAGAGGTGCAAAATGGCCCGAGGGCGCGAAAGTTGAGAAAATGCGGAAAAAAATTCCTTATTCCAAAGAAAACTTAATGGTCATTTTTAGTATTTTATCCCACTCAGAGGAACTAATTTTTTGTCATGGTGGAAGCGATGTGTCCGTAACACATTACCCCACCCCCCTCCATCAAAATTGTCTGCTATAATGTGAGGTGTGCACAATGCTAACAAATATTGTTTTTACTTAACCTACTATATACATTGAAAGCTAACAAAATTCAGCTTCAACAAAATTCTTCAATTAACACTTTTACAGATTAAAGTATTCAAAATTCAATAGAAAAAATGCAAACAAATAAAATTGGAAAGTAGCAAATTATTGGCACAATATTTGTAGAAAAAACCCTCACTTTTTAGAACTTACTGTAAGCCTTATTCAAATAACAAATTAGTTTTAAATTGAGCTTCCCTATATAATAATTGCTCTGTGGTTAAGTTTAATATTTATCCCAGACTGCAAAAATTAGGCCTAGAAATACGTCTGCACATTATGAAAAATAAGGGCCGATTTCTTTGCAGATTTTGCCGAAAATTAGGTGTTGATCTAATCTTAATATTACAACTAATGTATTATCATGGAGGAAATATTTCTTCCATGGTATAATGCAGTATTTAAGATTTTGCACACCTATTTTCCTTGTGATTTTCCGTGCAAATTTTATCTAGTTTTTTAAGTATCATTTGTTCAATTAAACTACATTACATTTGGTATTTACTACAGTATACTGCATGTTAATATCAAACAATCCTTCACTCCCCTACCTGTATTCAAATGAAAAGATATGGGATTTAAAACTTGTTGAAAGACACAATGTAAGTGTAACACGTTTATTATGGTACCACACAACTTTTAATGACTAGTAGTACATACGGGCATGATGGCCTAGCATAGCATAGCAAGCGTATGCAATTTTAATTCATCACTAGTAGTTCAATACCACTAAAGTTTGTGGTTGTTTAATAAGTATACCTCTCTAAAAATCAATCAACTTTGATTTATGAACTAATCGATACTTATTGTCTATGTTACAGTATCCGTTCCAGTCTAGCTGTATCATTAGTTTAGGTCTCAAAGTTACCAAGTTCCTAAACTACCAAGGCTAGGCTAGGCCAAGAGGACGAAGAAGGTCTACACCACCAACTCATCACAACAACAGCTAACTCTACCGCCGCACCTCATCAATCAGTGTTGGGACTGAAGAAGTTGAGAAGAAACTTATTTTGGTGATAACTGTCACTCGAAAAATGCTCATATTCCGTCGAAAACTACATCAAACCAATACCCTACAACTATAAATAAAAGTATTATTGTCTGCTAAAATATATTCACCTGCATTTATCGTCATCTAAAAAGACTTTACCTGGTTCTTTACCGACTTTCCTCCATAGTGTAAATTACTTTAGTTTCGCCATTGACCCCACTGATATTTTGATGAAACGACTACCAGAGGGCGATCTTTTATGTTCGCTCGCTCTTCTCTTAACCTTCTAAGTATTCACAATTAGTGTATGGTGGCTCAATAATGCCTTTTAGTACTTTTTATGAATACATACATACTATGTATATACATATGTATTGTTTCCCACAGCATTGTTGTTTTTCAGTATTTTGCCTTTTAATATATATATATATATATATATATATATATATATATATATATATATATATAT